CGGGACCCACATTAACTGGCCTAGCTCCCAGTAAGTCTATTGGTTGCATACTGAGCCTAATTCCTGGAGTAGCATTAAGATGTCCTCATGGCAAACTCCCAAAGTAGCGCATTGACAGACAGGCATAGGGCTCACAATATCCTGAATTATTTTCTGGGTTTTGACCCCCGGTATTCGGCAGCTGTGCCACCGGATATAACCTGGCAGAGCATGTGCTGTGTGCACTGCACACACTTCCCTGCTAATATGGTAATCCTCATTTTACAGACTAAAAACACCCTGATTTTAAGGCACATGTTACAGCCCCATCTGATGGTAGGCCCCTTTCAAGGCATTATTGGCCAAATTGGGAGCAAGATGTGAGTTTTTTTCTGAATGATTTCCACGATGCTACAACCTTCTTTTAACTCAGTGGAGCCAGCAAATAATTAACCCAACACCTCCTTCATTACTTGTCTTTAAATATATCGATCCTGTAAATTTGCAGCCAGACTTCATGTAGCTGTCATGCATTATGCAAATCAATACCTATGAATCGCATCAGACCAGGTAGAACCATAACATCAGCTAACAGAAAACATTCCTCATGGAGCACAGTTTGCCAAAAGGCATATTTTGTTGCGCTTTGCAATGGAATGTTTCAACAACCTAATAATTGCTTTCATAAGTTGGATTATTTAAGCAGTATCGCATTTTTTCGATGTATGTTTTTTGTTAACTCCAGTTTTAAATTATTTGGGTACCAAGTTGACACAATAAATCAATATATTTAAGAAATTTGTACATGTATCAGGCTGTATGGTAAATAAAATATTCAGTAATGTTAACGATTAGTCTCAGGTGACACCAGTATGTCAAACTTACTGAATTTTATGCAAACTGTATTTTTTCCTGTCTTATCTTTAACATAGACACTGGAGTAGGCTATTCAGCCTTTTCAACATGTTCAGCCATTGAATTAGATCATTGTTATTCCGAATCTTAACTCCATCTACCAGCTTTGCTTCCACAATCCTTATTACCCTTACCTTCATGTAACAAAAATCTATTAATCAGAGTTTTGAAATTTTTAATTGACCTAGCCTCAGCAATTTCATGGAGTGGCGAGATTTCCATTATAGTTTTTGACTTTCTGACGTTAACCCTGAATGGTTGAGCTATCAATTTTAAGGTTATATCCCCAACAGAAGAAATAGTTTTCCTGTATGTACCATATCAATTTAAACACGTCAAATACACCACACCTTAACCTTCAATTTTCTAGAATATACATGCCTAGTTTATGTAACATCAACTACTATAACACATTCAACCCCAGTATTGTTCTGGTGAATATGTGCTGCACCCATTTCCAAGTTTATTATATCCTTCTAGAGTTGTGATTCTAGAACAATGTTTTAAATTTCTTCATATGATATCGGCAGCACTGGCTAGACCTGCATCCATTTTGTTGGAATAACAGCAAAACGAACTATTATTTAAATGGTGCAAAATTATGGTATGCTGCTGTGCAGAGGGACCTGGGTGTCCTTGTGCATGAATCACAAAATGTTGGTCTGCAGATGCAGCAGGTAATTAAGAAGACAAATGGAATATACTGTCCTTCATTGCTAGAGGGACTGAGTTTAAAAGCAGGGAGGTTATGCTGCAGCTGTATAAGGTGCTGGTGAGGCCACACCTGGAGTACAGTGTATTGTTTTGGTCTCTTTACTTGAGAAAGGATGTACTGGAGGGGGTGCAGAGGGGGTTCACTAGGTTGATTCTGGATTTGAGAGGGTTGGTTTATGAGGAGACATTGAATAGACTGGGACTATGCTCATTGGAATTTAGAAGAATGAGGGGATATCTTATAGAAACACATCAAATTATGAAGAGAATAGATAAGATAGAAGCAGGGAGGTAATTTCCAATGGGGGCTGAAACTATAACTAGGGGGCACAACCTCAGAACGAGGGGGAGCAGACTTACGACTGAGTTGAGGAGGAACTTCTTCACCCAAAGGGTTTTAAATCTGTTGAATTCTCTGCCCAGTGAAGTAGTTGGAGCCATCTTATTGAGTGTTTTTAAGGCAAAGATAGATAAATTTTTGAACAGTAAGGGAATTAAAGGATATGATGAGCAGGTGGCAAAGTGGAGTTGAGTCCATGAAAAGATCAGCCACGATCTTATTGAATGGTGGAGCAGGCTTGACAAGTCAGATAGCCTATTCCTTCTCCTACTTCTTATGGTCTTATTTATTGCCCATTCTTAATAGCTCTGGGGAGGTGATGGCCTAGTGGTATTATCACTGGACTGTTAATCCAGAGGCCCAGGTAATGTTCTGGGGACTTGGGTTTCAATCTCGCCACGGCAGATGGGGTGGAATTTGAATGCAATAAATATCAGGAATTAGGAGTCTAATGATAACCATGAATCTGTTGCCCGTTACCGGAAAAACCCATGTGGCTTACTCAAATCCTTTAGGGAAGGAAACTGCCATCCCTACCTGGTATGGCCTACATGTGACTCCAGATCCACAACAATGAGGTTGACTCTGGAGAAACAATGGCCCAGTGGTATTATCACTGGACTGTTAATCCAGAGACCCAGGTAAGGTTCTGGGGACTTGGGTTTGAATCCCACAGTGTGAAGGAACAGAGGGATCTTGGTGTCCACTTCCATAGATCCCTCAAAGTTGCTACCCAAGTTGATAGGGTTGTTAAGAAGGTGTATTGTGTGCTGGCTTTCATTGGCAGGGAAATTGAGTTTAAGAGCTGTGAGGTTATGCTGCAGCTCTATAAAACCCTTGCTAGACCACATTTGGAATATTGTGTTCAGTTCTGGTCACCTCATTATAGGAAGGATGTGGAAGCTTTAGAGAGGGTACAGAGGAGATTTACCAAGATGCGCCTGGACTGGAGGTCTTATGAGGAAAGATTGAGGGAGTTAGGGCTTTTTTCATTGGAGCAAAGAAGGATGAGAGGTATCTTGATAGAGGTGTACAAGATGATGAGAGGCAGAGATAGCGTGGATAGTCAGAGACTTTTTCCCAGGGCAGAAATGACTATTATGAGAGGGCATAATTTTAAGTTGATTGGAGGAAGGTATAGGGGAGATGTCAGAGGTACGTTCTTCACTCAGAGAGTGGTGGGCGTGTGGAATGCGCTGCCAGCAGTGGTAGTGGACTCAGATACTTTAGAGACTTTTAAGCGACTCTTGGATAGGCACATGGAGGATAGTAAAATGCAGGGTATGCAGGGTAGTTTGATCTTAGTAAGACAATAGGTCAACACAAATCGTGGGACGAAGGGCCTGTACTGTGCTGTACTGTTCTATGTTCTATAACTGCCCTCTGGGCAATTAGGAATGGGCAATGAATGCTGCCTGGCCAGTGAAGCCTTCATCCCGTGAATAAATAAAGAGAAAAGAAAAGAATCCAATATTCCAATTAGGCCCTAACCCGAGCTGTATCCAGTTATGACATAACTCCCGGACTGAAAACACTCAATCTAAAACATTAACTGTGATTTTTCTCCAAAGATGCTGCCTGACCTGCTGAGCTTTTGCAGCAATTTCTGTTGTTTGTTTCCAGCCTCAGACCAAAGGCCAATAATTAATTAGACATTTAATTTATTTTGTACCTGCCCTTTAGCTTCTCATGATATGTGAATGTACAACCCAAGCCTATCTGCTCACCCAAAGTTCCTCACCATTTACAGATACTCACCATTTATCAAATATTCTGAAGTAATTGACCTCATGTCTCCACTTAGTCAATATCATTTGATACAGTTTTTTCCACTTATTGAATCTGTCAATGTTTCTTTGCAACTTTCTGCTCTCATCACGGATTTTAAAGGAAGCAGACAACTGTTTGCTAACTCAACAAGGATTTGTTCTCATTTTGCAAGATGTAAATAAGTTCGTTAATGACTTTACCGTTATAGCTAAGTGCAGCTTTGCAATGACCATTAATTGAAAGGTGTAGGTTCACACACTCAGGACCTTGGTTTTTGATGGTGGAGCATGTAAAGAGGGCAGCCACTCTGAACTGTCATTGATTACAGTAATAGCTTGTTCCTGAATTTAGAAAACAGCATTTGTATCAAAATTCTTGATTTTCAATTTGTGTTCTTCTCAATTTTTCCTCAAATTCTTCTGGGAAAACCCACCATCTACTTTAGACCAATATTTTCATCACCATGTTCGCTGTGAGCTAAGTGTGGGCAATGTGAACCTTAACTTGAGGGCTCTTGTGGCATAATGGTAGTGTGTTCATCCAGAGCCAAAAGACCTGCATTTAAATCCCACCTGTTCCATAGGTGTGTCATCACATGTCAGAACAGGTTGACTTTTTTTTTAAATACCTGCATCAAAATTTGAGCTTATAGCTTAACAGAATTATCAACTAATATAAACACTTCAATTCATAACATTAAAACAGGACTGAGCTGAGACAGAGTTTATTGGGGCTATATAAAGCACCCTATTCTTGTGCCTGGTTACGGTGACCAAGAGGGTATCATAATCTAATCTTCTGTTGAATCAGCAGAAGACCAGTTGAGACATATTTCAGATGCCTGCTCCAGATCACTGTCCAGTGGTTGTTACTGAAGTGCACAGGTGTAGAATGTCAACTGAGAACTGATTTTTAAAAGTTTAATCTATTGTCTAATTAACCTGTTCAGGAGCAGGTGGGACTTGTATTAGGCCTCCTGGTCCTGGAGAAGGAACACCATCTCTGCAACCACTAGTGGGCCCTCCACTGAGAAGTGATTTAGTTCATAGTCGAAGTGCCTGCTTATACTCCTTGTTAAAGTTCATGTGTCCTGGGTACTGGTAAATAATAATGGAGGACAGCTGATATCTATTAAAGGTACATCAGTGCCCACTGCAGAGAAGCAGGTATGCAGGGGTGGAAACCCAGGAATGATTATAGATTCAAAGGAAAGTTTGGAAATGTAATATTGATGTATTCAATATAACTCATTTTCCTTTTATTTTCTCTTTTGTTTCAATAGCTGCTTTGACATTTAAATGTTTGAAGGACCAGTGGCAAGTGTATTGCAAAATAATACGAGAGACGAACCTCTGTCAAGACATGAGGTGGTATCAGCGTTGCTGTGAGACCTGTAGAGACTTCTATGCACAAAAGCTACAGCATAAGAGTTGACATCACCTTTCACATCAGCACCAAACTTATTTTTATAAGTAAAATATAATTTATGAAAATACAGAACTACAACTTGTTTAGACCAAGGTACTGATGTATTAGGTATAATTTATTCATTTTAATTTATTATTTTTGTTTACCAAGATTTTTGGAGTACTGTTCAGTGATTATCGGAATCCAGATATTTTAATTTTTTGTTTGCTAAGATGGGTCCATTCATTGTAAACCGATAACTTGACAACTATCAGAATGTAGTTCATGCATAAATGACTCATGTCTTCATGGATAATGTGACATGAGCTGAAGTTAACACTCACTGTAATCATTTCAAAGACTGTAGGGAAAGCCTGTAGCAAGATATTGAAGTTCTCACTATGCATTCAATAGTGCCAATTATATTTGCTTGAAAAACAGTGACTTGAGAGTGAAACACTGTGGAGTGCAACACTGAATTATTTTTGCAACTTTCAGGTACTGTCTAAGGTTCTACAGTCTATGAATAAATAATAAATGTCTATTGCATTACTGTAAAAATGTCACTATTAACAGTTTACCCTTAGACTTTTGTAAAGTACTTTTTGTAGAGTACAGAATGGAACATTATGACTGTTTGCGTACAGCGACCAAACTATTCTCTCATAAATACTGAGAATAAAATTCTATGAATTTTAGCTCAAAATATTAATTTATATCAGCAGTGCATGGGTACATTCACCAAGTTTGATGTTTTCTATTTTGCCCAACTCTGATCTCTTGTTTGTACATGGCTAAAAATCAGGGTTAATTTGGGTAAAAAGTGGTGCTAGAATTACGCAGCAGGCCAACACAGCACCTGTACAGTTGAGACAGCAAGTCAAGAATCCACTCACATCAGGACCACTGCTTTTTAACTTTCCAAGTGCTATTGGATTTGCTGTGCATTTCAAGAGTTTTCTGTTTTTGTTTTAAAAAAGTTTTAAATAAAATATTTTAATTAATAATTTGAGAGAAGAAGAATAAAACAAAAGATTAAATATATTATGTCTTTATGCAGATCATGCTTTGGATATGAAAAAAAATACTGGGGTAAAAGATTTAGGCATCACTCTAGCCTCAGCAGAAATGTGATTCGGTGAATTTCTATCTGGTGCTCTTGTCTCACTTGACCATTGGCTAATTGCTCCCAATTGTGGCAATGCAACAAAGGCCATGCCTCAATCAGGCAGCTGAATTGCACACTGCCACTCCTATAGAGGAGATCAAGGACCAAATAGCAATGAAGTAAGGGGACAAAATATTTTAGTATTTTCACTGTGGTGCAATGAGATCCAGCAGTAAGAAAGCTTTGTTTTGCAAACAATTACTCTTTGTTTATTTAACTAGAAGCCCAACACAGCTTGTTCTGAGAAGACATGAGCCCTTCTGGACATTTCAGAGGCATTACTCATAGAGTTTCTGGATTAGCCTGAGAGTGCAACTCTGCTATAGCCCATTAAACTACTAGTTCCACCAAATGGGGAAGGCAGAAGAATCTCTTGGTCATTACCTTTCCCTATTACCTAGCAGTGTAATTTTATCGTGATTGCAAAAGGGTCAGAAACTTGCTGATCCAGCTATTTTGATCCAACTTCTGACTCTTTCATTAAAATGACACTTCAATTCATGTTATTATCATCGATTAGCTTCTTTTTATATGTTAGGTCACGTTTGTCACAGTTCTTTGCAATGAAAGTATTTAAAAGCTTAGTTCTTGAAATTAATTTGTGCAATATTAGCATACAAGCACATGCATTGTTATTTAAAGTCTGCTATCTTAATTGATGATTTAATTCATTTAAAATAAAACGCATCTATTAAAATAATAAACAAAGAAATTTTGTCACAGAATTTCAAGAATTTGTGGCAAATTACTCTTTTAGTAATATTCATCACATAGATATTATCCCTCTCCTCATCACATCTTGGAGTGGTTTACAGCAGTTGTTTGGCCACATTGCCTGGTAAGCCACATTTTTAAAGGTTTTTTTTAAAAAAACTGTGTTATTCTCTCTACCACAGGGTTACTATGCTTAGTTTTTATAGGGATCCTAGAGCAATCAGTCAACTTCCCTCTCCTCTTTATTTATTTTTCATCCTTAACAATAGCAGAGCTCCTCACCCAGCTGTCACTATGTATTTAATGCTAAAATGATTAGGCAATGCGTTGTTGCAGTTTATTTTTATTTACCTCCTTTAAAAGCCATTATTTTGGGTTCAAATATCATTTTTTGAAATGCTAAAGGTGAGTCAATTTGGTTTTAGCCTGAAAAAATAAGAACTTGCATTTTTATTTCTATGAAATGAATTATTTAAATATGATCCACATTGACTGCACAGGAGAAATGCTTGTGCAAGTAACCAGCTCCCTGTTGATATTATATTAGCTTCTGTGATATTAATTTACATTTTTACAGGTTGTAGGTTGAGCAAAGTTTACAGCCAAAAATTGTTAAAACTGTCTCTGTACCAGGATCTTGGCTAATCAAAATGGTGTCCCTCAGTGCAAGATTGACAGGGTGGCCCCTTTTTTAAGTTATTGTTAATCTCAGTGACGCAAGCTTGTTTGTGTCCATATAAACAAACTCTAGTAATTAGACAGAGATGTGAAAAAAACATATTTACTTTGAAAACTCCTATTCCATGTATGTAGACATGAACAAAGCTGAAATACTGTAATTCAAAGAAGCAAGCTGTTGCTGAAGCTCTTTATCTGTCTCTTTGGATAAAATATACAAATAAAAATGCCAAAATCTCCTGTATTGATAGCAGCCTAACTCATTTGTATAATGAACAGAAATTGGCCAAGTCTCCTTTGTAGTCAATTGAAAAATGTCTCAGAACTAAACAGTCTTTGGCATATTAAGCAATTTAGGAGATCTGTAACTGGATAGGCAGAAACATCATTCCATCAGCTAGCCTATTTTGGTTTCATATTTTGTTTTATTTGAAGAATAAGTTGCAGATCATTTTACTGAAAAACTACTTTCATCGCAACTTGCTTGCAATAATTTAAATAGTAAAAGTAAAACAGTAAATTTACAGGTTTCTAAATTGATTTTTATTTTTACTTCACGTGCTGTTACTTGAAATATTTGTGTAGGACTGAGTGTAGATCTTTAGAGCTGTAACATTTGGAATAATTCCCTTTATTGTTGTATTGCATTCCTTGCTTTTAAATGAAAATTTGAAGAAGTGCCAAGTGTAATGAGATTTGCAAATTGTTACATAATTGTGAAATTGTATGTATTTGATCAAATATGCTGTATATTTTATGCCTCTTAGCACCAGGCATCTTCCCAAACTCTTATTCCTGTACATTCGTAAAATAAACAACATATTAAAAAGGACATGTTTTCTGACTTTCCTTATAACATTTTATTTACTAATCCAGTTCATTGTCTATGTCAAAAATCCTTAAATATTGTCAAATTAAGAAAAAATATTGCTTTATTTTCTGCCATTCCTCACCTGGATGAGCGCAAACATTTGTCACATTAAATAAAAATAGTATCAACATTATTACCTCAGTCAGGAAAGACCTTAACTATGTTGCCTTTCATTCTACAAGTTAGAAAGTTCCTATAATCCATGAGTGGCACGGTGGCTCAGTGGTTAGCACTGCTGCCTCACAGCACCAAGGACCCGGGTTTGATTCCAGCCTTGGGTGACTGTCTGTGTGGAGTTCATGCATTCTCCCCGTGTCTGCGTGGGTTTCTGCTGGTTGGTCCAGTTTTGTCCCACAGTCCAAAGATGTGCAGGTTAGGTGGATTGGCCATGCTAAATTGCCCTTGGTGTTCAGAGGTGTGCAGTTTGGATGAGTTAACCATGGGAAATGCAGGGTTACAGGGATACGGTATGGGGGTGAGTCAGGATGAGATGTTCTTTAGAGGGTCAGTGTGGATAAATTGGACCAAATGGCCTGTTTCCACACTGTAGGGATTCTATGATATCATCCACCTCTGCATTGCTTGAAGTGACAATCCAATCCAATCTCAATTTGGCTGTAGGGCCTTAGAAGTGCTTTATACACAAGCTGCCAACACCAGGCACTTTACGTCCAATCTGCACTTTCATGGCTGCTCATCAGATCATGAATATCACCAAATTCCAATTTCTATCCTTAATTATGCAAAAATATTACAAAAGGAAGATGCTGCAGATGCCAGGAATCTAAAATAAAAGCAGAAAAGGCTGAAAAACAAACTCAGCAAGTCAGGTGGCCACCTGTGGAGAAGCAAGCAGTTAACTTTTCAGATTGATGATGCTTCATTCAAACTTGGGAATGTTAGTAATATAGTCAGCATGCAGCAAGTGAAAGGGGGAGGGAGAGGAAGAAGAGCAAAAGGGAAAGTCTGGGCAGGGTAGAGGCTAGGAGAGATTAAAGGATACAGGTACAAAAGCCAAAGTGGGATGGGCCGTATTTTGTGACCTAGAGGAAAAAGTGCAGGAAGTAAGTAGGGGGGCCACCTTTTCCTGGGCTTTCCTTTTTCCTGGGGGTAACACACCGAATATGTCACTACCAATTCCTTCCTTGCTGTGGGCCCTTCAACAGCCGGCCCCCAAATCCCTCTTCCCCCACTCCCTGAGCTCTTGGATCTCTCCTTGTCCCCAACACAGTGTCTGGGGTAGATAGTACTCTCCTCTGTGCTCCTTCCTGTAATCCCAGCAGTGCCCATGCCAGTGCACTGGTGCTGGTGAGGTTTCATGGCTGCATCTCTCTGAAGAGCTGCATAATTCCTCCCACTGATTCTGCCATTTAGCCAGCTCAGCCTGGACTGGGGGCTGGGGATTTACACAGTCTGCCACCCATAAAATGCAACTTGTGAGAGCTACGTGAATTCTTTCACCTTTGTACCCAAAGTTAGTTATTGAGGGTTGACTGGATGATGTAGCTAATGCAGAATTAAAGGGTTTGTATTTAATGGGCCTACAGCGTGAGTCACTACAGCAGCAGTGGTTGTAGCATTCAATCACTGGGAATTAGCATAGATCTGTAA